CCCACACACCGCGGGGGGGACGGCCCGTGCAGTCGGGGCATTTGACCCCCACCTGCGGCGGCGAGGCAGCAGGAAGAGGGCGGGTGAGGCACCAGGACGAGGGCGGGTGAGGCACCAGGACGAGGGCGGGTGAGCCACCAGGACGAGGGCGGGTGATTCGGGCGATCTCACGACTCTCTTTTTTTTGAAAGGGGGGGGGGGGGGGGGCGCCTGGCTCGAGCCCGCCTCCTTTTGCTTTGCAGGCCCCATGATGCCGTCGCGCTGCAGGCGAGGGCGGCGTGGCGTCAGGTGTGGCTGACGACTCCTCTGGGGCGGTCGGGCGGAGAGCTGTCCACTGGGAGGTCGGTCGGGGTGTGTGTGTGGTGTGTGTGGGAGGTGTGCGGTGAGGTGTGTGTGCGTGTGGGAGGTGTGTGGGAGGTGTGTGTGCGTGTGTGCGTGTGTGTGTGTGTGTGTGGTGTGTGGTGAGGTGTGTGGTGAGGTGTGTGTGGGAGGTGTGTGTGGGAGGTGTGTGGTGAGGTGAGGTGTGAGGTGAGGTGTGAGGTGTGTGGTGAGGAGTGTGTGATGAGGAGTGTGTGGTGAGGAGTGTGTGGTGAGGTGCCTGCACGCCAAACAGGTCGCCAAAGTAGACGGTCAGCAAGGAGTTGCAGCTCGGGCAAGCGGTGGAGGCGACGAGCCTGGGGGTCGGGGCTGAAGGTCGGGGCCGAGGGGCCGCGGGGCAGGGAGGAGGGCTCGCGCAAGGCAGAGGCGGCTGCGCTGCAACGGGGGCGGGGCCGCGGACGCAGACGCGGAGGCGGGAGGCGGAGGCGGAGGCGGAGGCAGAGGGGGGGGGGGGGGGCGGCGAGGCGCACGGCTTTTGGGCAAAGATGTTCTCGGTGAACCAGACGCCGAAGAGGTAGGCGGGCAGGGCTCCAAGGACGATCGAGAGGAGGGGGTCGATGTGCAGCGTCCAGAACTCCACCTCGCACGCCAGGATCAGTCCGCCTGCATCGCAGCCCGCCGCCGGCCGTCAGCCGTCCGCGCACCGGCTCGCGACAGGCCCAGCCGGCGAGGGGGAGGGGAGGGGGGCTCACCGAGCGTGCCGGGCAGGTAGAGGAGCCGCTGCTTGCCCTCGTCCACCTTCATGTCGAACCGGCACGTCCCGTCCACCTTGCACGAAGGCGCCTCGTGCAGCACCACCGGCGAGCCCGCTGTCTTGAGCTTGCGACGGAGCGAGTCGTACTCGCTGTCAGAGAGGAAGGGCTTGCCCATGACGAAGCGCTTGTTGGCGATGAGGTACTTGATCTCGTCCTTCGAGAAGGCCGCGATCCGAGACCCCTCGAACTGCAGGTCCGTCTTGAGCGTCTCGTACTCGGAATCGCCCAGCACCGGCTTCTCGTCGTTGTAAAAGGCGTCGAGGCAGTCGAGGTAGAGCTTCTCCTTCTCGTCGAGCCCGATGCGGCTCCGCTCGCCCGTCTTCACGTCCGCCAGCAGGAACTCGTCGTAAGGCGACGGCGCGCTCGACCCCTCCTCCTGCTGCACCTGCATCCGCAAACGGCTCGCCGCTGCCAGCCGCGGCGGCCGACCCACCAGAGCGCAGCTCGCTGAGGCGGCCGAAGCGGCGGCGCCGCGAGGAGGCGCGCGCGCTGCGGTGAGCACCACCGCCGACGCGGGAGCGAGAAGGCTGAGCAACGCTGCAGATCTGAGCATATGTGGTCGGGCGGTGAGGAGCAGAAAGAGGATCTGCCCGAAAGAATTTTACGCGGAGGCTCGTCGACGACACGATTCACGCTAATACCAACTGGCTGTCCACTTGTGCTTTTGAATGAGTGGGCTGCACGGCTGTCTGTTTACAGGCGCCGTCCGCCCGCGCGCGCGCCGACCCAGCTCCGAGCACGCTCGCTCGCCGCTGGGCGGCGCGCGTCCACACGCGTCGGCAAAACGCGACGCAGGAGCTCGCTCGCTGCTGCTGCGGCGGCGGCAGCGACGGCGACTGCCGGCTGCCGGCTCCCGGCCGCCGGCTGCCGGCTGCCGGCGGCCGGCTGCTGCCGGCTGACGGCTGACGGTGACGGCTGCGGCGAACGGCGACGGCTCGGTTCGCGTTCGCGCTCCGCGAGGGTGCGACTGAGCCTGCCGCGCTCGATCTGGGAGCCACTCGGCGCCAGGTCGAACGGCGGTCGGCTCGGCCACTGCGGGGCGACGCATGATAGAGCATGCTGGGCGCCGCATCATGTACTACAGTGGGTTGCGGGCATTAAGAAAACAGGATTCCGCGGCACGCCGCCGTTTCTAAGCCTTTCCACAGCCCTCATCCACCCCACGCCGTGGTTTCTTAGCTCCGGCCGGGGCACTCAAGCCAGAGGCAGAGCGCGCCAGCGCCGGCCCGAAAGATTTTTAGGTAAGAGGTAAGCTGCGGTCCGCCCGCGAGGGCGATGCCAGAGTCTGCCGCCGAGTCGGCTCTCTGTCTGGATGACGGGAAGACGCACACACGCCTCCGTTCACTCCATCCACTCAGAACACCGCAGACTTGGAAAAAAGTGACAAGTGCGCGCCGCAGGCGAAGAGAAATTTTGAGCTGGGCCTCCCGTCCACACTCGCGTCTGGCCTTTTCTCGGGGCCGCGCCTGCGGCGCGCCGTGGTTTCTTATATTTTTTTGCGGAAATCGCTTGGTAGGAGGTTTCTTAATGCCCGGGGAACCTTAATCGGACGCTTTCTTAATGCCCGCAACCCACTGTACCGCTCCACGCCAAGGCGCGGGGCGGCAGTGCTCATCGGCGCTCGCGGCGCTTCTCGGGCGCGCTCACCAAGAAAAGAAAGAAAAAAGGTTACCAGCCTAAAAGAACACAAAAGAAAACGGACAACCAAGGGAGGGATGGGAGAACGGCACGCCGCCACCACACAGGGATTTTAAGGAGAGGGGTGTGGTGCGCTAGCCGTCGCCCGCCCTGTCTGCTGCGACTCACGCTGGAGAGAGAGATCTCTCTCTCTCTCTCTCGCTGGTTGTTTTCTTTAGTGTTTTGGGTTCTCGGATACTTTCCCGCTCGCCGCCCCAGCAGACTGCAGAGCGAACTGCACTGAAAGGAATTCTACATGTCCACGCCCCTCTCCGCCTACGAGATCGAGCGGCTTAAAAACATCGAGCGCAACCAGGCTGTCCTCGCTCAGCTCGGCCTCGAGGCGCTCGCGCCTCCAAAGCCCACCGTCGTCCGCAAGCCAAAGGTGCAGCGCCCGCCGACAGAGCCGAGCCGGAAGAGCGGCCGCATCGCTGCGTTGCCCGCCCCCTCGGTCTTCATAGACGCTGAGCATTCCAACGGCAAGGTCGTGCTGGGTGGTGTGGACGCAAAGGCCGCAAAGGCGGCCGCCGAGAAAACGGAGGAGGAGGCTGCGTCGGCCGCGGCTCCGCTGGACGAGGACCCGGCCCCGGCATCGGAGGCGGAGCTCTTCCCAAACGAGGCGCTCGTGTACGGCCTCTTGCGCGACGAGAAGAACAGGATCGCCCGCGAGAACGATTGCGCCGCCTACCACGTCGCGCAGAACCGCGCTCTCATGGCGATGGTGCGGTGCGTGCCTCGCTCAGTCGAGGCGCTGCTCAGCTGCTGGGGTTGGGGCGAGGCAAAGGCGAGATCTCACGGCGCGCGCCTCCTCGCGACGCTGGAGCCGCACGCCGCGGCTCTTCGGGAGGCCAGGCGCGGGAGGGCGGCGGACAGGCAGGAGGCTGCGGGGGCGACGGAGGCTGCAGGGGAGGCTGCAGGGGCCGAGGGCGAGGAGGAGGTGCTCGAGGTTGAGGACGACCTCCCCAAGACGCGCGACGATCTGCGGCCGCAAGAGCTGCCGGCCTACGAGGCGATGCTCGCGTGGAAGCGCGCCCGCGCAAAGGAGCTCGGATACAACGACCCATGCATCATCTGCCACGCACTGGCGCGGCAATGGGGAACCCTCGTTTCCTATGAACTCGGTCCCCCAACGGAAGAGGCCTCACTCCAAACTTGTTTTCGCAAATTTTGAGGCGGAAAGCCATTTTCTTTTGGATCCTGTGGGCACCCTAGCCAACTGCCAATACTCGCCCTAGTTGTTGAGCCGGATGCGGATCGACGGGTTGCCCAGGTTCGATCGAGCAGCAGCCTAGGCGCAGCGCGAATCCTTCCTTTCTTTTGTGTCACCGTAGTGTCGGCCTCGCACGTCAGAAGAAGAAGAATTTGCGAAAACAAGTTTGGACGGAACGGCTTACATCATACATGCAAGCAGCAAGGCACCACACATGCCGAAAGCGCGAAAGGGGCGAGGGACGAGGCGGCGCCCGCCAGCCTTGAGTGAGAGACCGGACGTGCTTGTCATCACTGGTGCCTCAGGTACGGGCAAGACTTATCTAATGCAGAAGGAGGTTCTCGAGCTGAAGGGCAAGGCACCGGCGGACATCAAAGAGGTACTTGACCGGTGGCGGCTCTGCCGCTCGACGAAACTAGTAGGCAGAGGTGTCAGCTCGCAGGTCACGTTTCACATCAACGGCCTCAACACCGTTGCGGTGCCGGGACTCTATGCCTGCGATGACAATCCGCAGTGGCGCCGGTGGCGCAACACGGTCCCGCCCACCGGAGGGACGGACCTCCTCCTTCCGCAGTGCTGTGAGTTCCTGGCCGCGCTGCTGCGTGGCGATCCGTGTGTGCTCAAGGAGCACGGCATAGAAGAGCCACCGAGCCTGGTCATCATGGAGGCGTGCACCGTGGCCAAAGTTGTCAAGATGGACGTGCTCGCCGCCCTGCTCGAGTCGCCGCGATTTGAGGTGCTGCAGCTCACCAAGCCGCGTGCGGAGGCAATTGCGGCGTTTGAAGCACGTGGACGTGAGCATGACAGTGGAGCTGTCAAGAATGTGCCTGCTGCGACGGTCCATGACAGGTATTCCGGAGAGGTTGACCGCATCAAGGAGGCGCTCGAGGCGCGCGCCGCAGCCACAGGGAAGGTGCTCAAGGAGGGGTGGTGGCGCTGCATGCCGCAAGCAGAGGCGATGGAGGTGGTGAGAGCACGCCTCACACAGGCGGCCTGATGGTAAGTCCCCATAAGGGAGCATGCCCCAGAGAGATAGAGAGAGAGAAACAAAGGGGGGGGGGGGGGGGGGGGGAGATTTGTTTGTCTCTTTAAATTGTGCGACTCATCTCTCATCACTCTCAAGTCTCATGCACACAAAAGCAGGAGAGAAGAGTTGGTTTTCAAAAATCTCTCTCTCTCTCCGCAAAAGCACAACCCTCAGGCAGTACCCCGGGCCCGAAATTGCACGACAGCACGAGAAGAGTTTGTAGCAGCACGACACGAGTAGCGATTCGGTGGCGGCTACTCTTCTGGTTGCTGATGGAGAGAGACAAGGGAGAAAACACCAGTGAAAAGAAACCAAGGGCCGCCATAAAATATTCATCTCACGACGTGGCCCGGAACCCTCGCCAGGGTGAAGCCCTGGCCTGCACTGTGGCAGTACAGGCATGCCGCACACCCAGCACACCTCCAGCGGCGAAAGCATGGCTCGCACACCCACTGCTCACAACAGCGCATCTGCACCCACTCACACATAGCCCGCTCTGGCGCGGCGGCGGCTTCGGGGTCCTCCGAGGCAGAGGCGACATTGGAGGAAGAGGTGGCTGCCTTGTTGTCGACAGCACAGGTGGTGGGAGAGTTAGCGTTGGGTGCCCCGGTGGGAGCAGATGACGTCCCTGTGCCGGCCGGACCGTGAAAGCCGCGAGCCTCGAGCCGCGAGCCGACCGGCGCGAGTGAGCCCTTTGCGGGTGTGGTACACGTCGGAGCGCTCCCTGAGCCACTCGGCCGGGGAGCCGCACTGTTCGAGTGCGTCCCGAGGCATATGGCACACAAAGCCACCGGCCTCTCGCCTGGGAGCTTGAACGGCCCGTCCTTTGCTACTGCCGCCGCCAATGCCGTGTCGAGGAGGTCGAGAAGGAGCAGTTCGACATATTCCGTGTCCAGCTTGGCGGCCCTTTCTTCCCTGTGCGTGGGTGGCAGGTGTGAAAGGGCGAGGTGTGGACACGTGCGTGAGGTGTCATGGCGGCGCACAATGCTCGCGCCGTAGACTTGTCAGAGGCGTGAAGGCGCTCCGCAACGGCGCGCAACCCTGAAAATTGTGGGTCGATGAGCGCTCGGGCATAGTCCATTAGCCTCGCTTGCGCCTCGGCAGGGCTGCCTCGCAGCCGCTTTCCGAGCACCTGCAGAAGCTGCCGGCCCAGGGAAGAATGGTTCGCGCTCTCCTTTTCCAGAGCGCGCCAAACTGCAATCGCCTGGCTCCCGCCCAGACGATCGCCCAGATATCTCACGATGCTACGGACGCCCGGCCGGACCATGCGGTCGACATGGTCCGGCGTCGGCACCGTCGGACGCAGCCTGGCTCCGTTTTGATCGGTGTCGTCGTGCATCCCGTAAGAGGTGCACGAGCCGGTTGGACTTTCTTCGTGTGGCTTTTCTTTAAACAGTAGGGGGAGGGCGGCCAGGGCTTTTTCTGTGGTTTTTATCGTGCGCTGCTCACTCACTATACATGTACACTGAGTGGAGAGATAGTACACCACACACACAAACACTACTCCCCAACACGCGGCTAGCCAGGCCTGCCTGCTACACGATGGCGACGTTCTCAGGGTTCTGCCTGCGTGCTTTTGTTGCCTCCCGCTTGGAGTCGGCAGTAAAGCAAGTGGATGGAAGCGGGGGCGACAGGGACGGCGGCGGCGGCGGCAGGGGGCTGGGGGGTCGGCGATGCCGAGATGTGTGATGAGCGTCGGGCCACGAGAAGGAGAGGGGTGAGGACGAACAGGGGCCGGACAGACACGCTGCGGCGCAAAGTAGGCACGTGATGGCCGAGGAGACGCGAGCCCGACGGAGCCCGGAGGCCCACAGCCAGCCCCTGCATCGCTGTGGCACGCCCACTGCTTCGCCCCTCCCATGCCCGCCGGCCGAGCTTCACCTGCGTGTGATTGCAAGGGGGGTCGTGAGCGAGGGGGGCCTGCTCGCGTATGGCCGAGAGCGCGCCGGCGAGAGCGCGCTGTTGTCCGCGGGCCGGAGATGAGCCCTGCGGGAAAAAGGCGGCATGACTGTGTCGGCCCAAAGAGCCTCCGGCGGCCCTACGGGGTATCCGCCGGCCAGCGCCCAGCCTTGCGCTGCGCGCTGCGGCCGGGCGCTGATCGGCGGAGCGCCTGCGCGGCGCTGCACGCGTCTTCCCCTTTGCCAGCCTCGACAGCGCGCTGGGGGCGCGCAAAGCCGCTCGGAGGAGACGGCCAGGAGCCAAGGTGCGGCCGGAGCGCGGCGAAAGACCGAGGGGAAGTGGCCGCCGCGTACAGCCTCCGGCGGGCCTCCGGCGGACGCCTGCGGCGTGGCGCTGCGCGCGACCGGCCCCTTCTCGGTGCGCTGCACGACGATCTCGCTCAAACGCGCACCTGCCGGGTCGGGGCGGTCACGAGACCGGCTGAAATTGCGGCCGCAGCTGCTTGGGGGGGTGAGGATGGCCGGGCTTGAACGGCTTCTCGCGAGGTGCCCGCATCCCGACGCAGCAGCGATTTCGCGGGTTCGCTCTTTCGCGGCCTTCGCCGAGCGCAGGCCTGGGTAGGGCCAAACTACGGGAAATTTCTTTTTACTCGCACCCCCGCCCGCCGAGCCAAAGGTGCTCCGCGGAGCCGCCAGGCGCCCGCCCCGGCGGTTCGCTCGCTACGCGTCGCTCACCGCCGGGGCGGGCGCCTGGCGGCGCCGCTGCGCAAAAACTGCCACTCCATCCCCGCTCGTCATCGCGTGGTTCCACTTTTCCGAAGCTGACGCGCTCCTGGCCGTTTGCGGCCTCAGGAGCATTGTCGGCGGCGCGTCGATCCTCAGGTTGCCTCAGCCGCTATCATCCCATGCAACGTGCTGGCCCGCAGCTGCCTTATGGCGTGCGCACCTTCACGCGTCGCCCTCGTCGTGCGGGATGGCCGGTTCTGCCGCTCACAGGACGTGCGAGAGGCTCGCTATAGATCATCTCACGCTCCTCCACCGCGCCACGCACACCCTTGTCGCTCAGAGCGGTGTGGGAACAGCGCCCTGGACGCGTGGTACACGGACGCGCCGCGAGAACCCGTGCCAGGCAAGCTTCAGCCACCCCACCGGCGCTCAGTCAGCCCCTCTAGCCCCACCAGTGCCGCCCGCTTCAGATGGCACTCTGATGCCTTTACGAGTCCTTCTTGGCTCCCGCCAGCAGCGCCTCGGTGCGTGGTGCTGCACGGCCCTTCAAGACGGCCCGGGAGGCGGCGGAAGAGATCTCTTTCGCCGTTGAAGCGGGATATACGACCCGTAAGGGCCTCTCCCACGCGGGCCTCTCCCACGCTGCCGCGGCAGCCGCCGCTGCACCATCCCAACCGGCCCCGTTCCACCTCCTTTCCCCCCCTTCGCGCCCTCGAGAGCTCACTCCGCATCCCTCCAGCGATATACAGGACCGCTGGGGCGATGAGTGGCGTGCGCTCCGCCCAGGGTGGCCTCAGAGAGGCATTGAGAGTTGAGCTCTCTAGGCGGCCCTTGAGCGCGCGTGCTTCCGGCAGCACCGACCCCACGGAGACGTCCACGTCGGCCGGAAGCGCGCCCAGCGCGCCCAGCACGCCCATCGCCGCGCGCCCCGCGGCGGCGGTCTTGATGCGCCCGGGCGCGCCCGCTGAGGCGTCTGTGGCGCCCCTCGCACATCCGCCTCCCGCGCCACGGCCCCGTCCTCACCGCTTGCCACTCCTCCGGCGTTAGGCAATGGTCGGAGGACAAATAGCGCCGTCTTTAGGTCGCGTGGCAAGCGCCACGAGCACGCAACTACGGTTTAGACGACTTCGCAACTGTCAGGTGGCTCAATAGGTGACGTCACGACGAGTTTACGGCGCTGCTCCGTGTCAACATCCCCACCACCGCCGCCCTCCGCCCCGCCGCCGCCGCCGCCGCCATGAGCGGCTCCGCCTCGCCCTCTCCGCCGCCTCCCTCCGCCTCGCCCTCGCCTCCGCCCCCCTCCGCCTCGCCCTCGCCTCCGCCTCCCTCCGCCTCGCCCTCGCCGCCGCTTCCCTCAGCCGCCGCCGCCGTCGGCCTCGCCGTCACCGCTGCCGCCGTCCGTCTCGCCTCGCCGCCGCCCCTGTCGGCCTCGCCCTCGCCGCCGCCTCCCTCCGCCTCGCCCTCGCCGCCGTGGCCCTCCGCCTCGCCGGTGCCACCGCCGCCCTCCGACTCGCCATCGCCGCCCGCCGTCACCGCCGCCGCCCTCCGACTCGCCGACGCCGACGCCGCCGCCCGCCACCCTCGCCACTGCCGCCCTTCCGTTCGCCGCCGCTGCCGCCGCCCTCCGCCTCGCCCCCGCCGCAACCTCCCGCCCGCCTCGCCGCCACTGCCGCCGCGGTCGACCTCCAATTTCGCTCCGCCTCCCTC